AGCAATCCTAATCAGAAAAAGGTGTGTTCTAGAAGAGCCCTGGCTATGATTAGAGTGATGATGAGCATAACGAAATGGGAGGAATCCTACAAGCTTAGAACATTTAAGATAAGTAATACTTATCATCTAGCTAAGGAATTCCCTGAGAAAGCAAGACCTGAATGAAACTCTTCAGTTGATAGGTGCTGTGCTAACACTTATACCCAGATGTCTTCCTGTAACCACTAATAAGTCCCTCTCTGTGGTAGATACCTTCAGACACTGCAGGGGTGAGTCGCTATTGCTTTAGAATCCTGAAGAGCAGACCTGAGATCTGAGACTGTTACTGTGCGCAAAGCTCCACTTACCTCACCCTGCAGACATCAGTCTATTACTAAAGGTCATTAACTTCAGTAAAATTTCCATGTATAGGGCCTATGTGGGTATATTTAGAATTAGGAAGCCTGAAAGTCTGGTTTGAGATTCTGAATAAAAATTGCGAAAGTGCAGGAGGGAACGAAAGAAATTAGACAAGGAACCCACTGATGTTTCTTGAGAAAGTGCCTCTACTTCCCCCTTGTGGTCAAATTCCCTTAGAATTAGCACTTTCCCCACCCACCCCACCTCGAACAGTGTTTATTATGGCTTAATCACTCTTCAGAAATAAGATTTCTCAATAACAGAATGGATGGGAAACACACTTGATAGGATAGGGAATGTGTAAGTCTTAAAAATAGGTTTTATAAGAGATTTAATTTTTCTGAAAAGGTTTATCAGAAAAACCAAGACACTGAATAGTCCTGAGTAGGGAAATCTATGTGCTTCCATCCAAGAGCCTCAGCTATAAGGGAAGTAAACTCTAAAACCTGCATTCACTGAAGAGCCTGATGGAGCAGAGGCTGAACTCTACCTGCATCCATCCAAGAACCTTAGCTATATAGAGTGGTGAACTCTACCACATCCATCCAAGAGCCTCAGCTATATAGAGTGGTGAACTCTACCACGTCCATCCAAGAGCCTCAGCTATATAGAGTGGTGAACTCTACCACGTCCATCCAAGAGTCTGAATGGTTCACAGAGGTGAACTCTATTTGTATCTGCTTCTCATGATTGTCCTGTAAAGTAAATGCCACTACCTTCATGTGAATAAAAAATCCACTTCACATAAAGCAGACTTGAAAGTTCTTGACTGTTCAGAGCTTACCGCTTCCTGAATTGTACAGGCATCTGTACAACCACAAAAATATAGGACTAGGTTGAGGGTGGGGTTTTTTTGAGATTAGAATACAATTACAAAATTTCTCCCTTTGATTTTTCTCACTCCAAACCTATGGGAGCGGTTTTCAGGTTCCTCGTGGCTTTATCCAGCAGGTCCGCATAGAGGATGATTAGGACCACGGGCCTGAGTGCAGTTGTCTGAGATGGTCTGCACTTGGCTGTGCTGGGGAGTGGTGGATATCTTTTGCTCCACCCTTTGGCATCTTTATTAATACCCTGGGGCAGAGACAGTCAGGGCCCATTGGAATAAGTTCCAGGCCCTCTCGAGGCTATCCTGTATTTTCTGTCTGTTTATCTCCACAATCTAAATCCTTCTATCTAATATTTCCCACTGCTCGCACTCAAGAAAACTCTGGGGAGCTGTGGGGTTGGTGAGTAAACGCCCGCACAAACCCTCCCATATGCTGCTCTCACTCTCCTTCAAATTTATGACCTCTTTTTTCATGAATTATTATTGCATGCATATATGAATATACATATATATTCCTAAACCTAGCAAGTTCCATTTATATAATGTTACCTCTATGCATGTCTCAGTGCTGACCATTTGGCACTGGACAATCAACTGGTATACTCTTCTCTTGGGAAAACCACATTCCCACTCTCAGCTTTCCTCGGTTGCCTACAGTTCTTTATGTAGGGATCAGGTTTCCTGGCTTTTCCCCATCCAGCTTGGCATGTTCGTTGATGTCATTATTGTTCAGCTCACATTTGGGCAGTTATGTTGCTGAGACTTTATGGCTGCAGCTTCTGATGTTACTTGGAGACAGTTACAGCAAACTTACTGTTCCTCTGGCGCTTACAATATTTCTGCCCCCTCTTCTGCAATGATACCTGAGTCTTAAGTGCCGGGGTGTTTTGTAGATATAGCCGTTGAGACTGGACTCCACATCTCTAATTTATTAGACCAGCATAATCCCTAACAACAATCTATAAACATTTGCCCTCATACTCACAGATAAGAGTAGTCTTCACCCCTCATCATGAAAACTCCTCTTGGCAGCAGATGAAGACCATCACAGAAACCTAAAGCCAATCAAACTGCAGAGCTGTGGGATTAGGTTTTATCAGCCTTGAAGCCAACTTCTATTCAATTTCCTGAGGTAGTATAGTTCTACAAATCTTCTCTTGATTTCTTTCTATATTCTGCTCCTTAAATTTTCAAAAGTCATTTCCCTTTTTAATAATGATAATGGTGTTAATTACTAGCTTTGAATTTTTAACAATTTAATACATGCATATAATATACTATGATCATATTCAACTCCTCATTACCCTTCCCACTCTTATTGACCTTCCTCTTCTTCTTCTTCTTCCTCCTCCTCCCCCTCCTCTTCCACCTCCTTCTTCTTCTAATCCTCCTCTCACTTTCATGAATATTTAAATGCAAGTGACCACAGAGGTTGTGTTTATGTACCTTGGGCCGTAGAGAGGATGGCGTAGCTGCCTCATTTAGGGCTGCCCATTCAATAGTCACTTGTTCTCAGAATTTTGACGAGTTATGAGTGTTTTGATAGTAATCACCCACTGCAAAAAAACAAGCCACTCTAAGCCAGGTGAGAGTGATGCTAGCTCTTGGAGATATATATATATATATATATCTATATATAGATAGATATATAGATAGATATATATAGATAGATATATTTAAAAGCAGTTTAACTTCGCATCTGTTTAACAAAGCACTCATAAGGATATTCCCCACGAGGGCCTGACCTGCCGGTCATAGGTTTTGGCCAGGATTATTGTACCAGGCACATATTCTCTTTCAGTGGGATATGTCTCAAATTCAATCAGAAAGCAGTTGATTACCCCCAAAACAATCTTAACACCACTGCACCAGGGGGCCTATCATGTCTGGTAGGTCGATAATGTCGATAATGTAGCACTAAAGGTGCACAGCTGGGAACAACCAGTTCATTCTCAAAGTTGATCTTCTAACAAAGAAAGAGACTCAATAGAGACAGAACAAGACTATTTTCTTCTGAATTACAGTAGCCACATCTGGATTGGTGCATATTTGGGGAAAAAATCTGCAACATTATATGGCGCTGCCTGTCGCATGACATGACAGGAAGGGTAAAAGGACATACTAACTGTGGGTTTAGCCGTTTTATTAACACCGGAGAATCTTGATTCTTTTTTTCCCTGTGCTACTGGGTGTATTGAATTCTTCCCAATTGTCTCATAGTATTTAGAGGATGACTACAAAATGTATTGATTATCAGATTTAAAACCCATTGTATAAGGCATCAGGAGGACTCTTAGGGACATGGTGGATAGTAGTAGAAGGTAGTGGAAGAAGACATAGGAGAAATCATTATCAAATTCTAAATGCCTATTTTTTTATCTCTGAAATGCAAAGGGCCATCTAGTAAATAAATTAGTCCATTTTCTGCTTCAGTTTAATTCTTGGCTTTATAATTCACAAGACTCCGACCCTCATCAAGTTATGTTCCTTTCTTAACTTCCACTCCCATGTCAGTGAAGACAACAAAAACCCTTTCAAGGGTCAAAGGAGTAATGTTGTTAAGCACTTAGCATGAGGAATTGTTCAGATGATGCTTGCTTTTTGTATGTGAGACTGGAAATTATTCAAACTTTGCTTTTGAGAGGGCATCTAACTACAAGCTCTCAGTACTTATACTTGTGACCCATGACAAGAGCAGAAATGCTCGGAATGACATTTCTTCAATGATTTTCTAATAATGAGATTCCTTTTCATACTTTTCAGCCTTACTAAATACATCTCGTGTCTGTACCACAACAACATGTGCTTCAAAGGTAGTTGTGTATATTTTCTTATTTGGTGTGACAAGTAAATGCTTCAGTTCTGATTGCAGGGCCACTCTGGCCACAGCCCTCTTAAGTTCTGACTGAGTGTGTTGTTAGGAAAGACCTATAGGGCAGCTCCTACATTTCACCAGTGCAAGAATTTAGAGAAACTCTGAAAGTACACCTGGTGGCCTCTGCCCTTAACACATGCACTAGCCCATGGGAAGTTGTTAGTTGTTTCCCACCAATATTCAAATGTTTACATATTTGATAATAGACTATTACACATTTTTTCAGTTATAAAGCATAACTTTAGAGAAATAAGAAAGACAAAATATTTTATCATTGAGAGTACAATCATGCCTTATTAACATTTTAATGCATTATTTCATGTAATATTTTTCTAAGAATAGTGTTTTGATTTATTCGATAAGGGGAGCCGAAAACACATAGAGTTTTCAGCAAATCAACAAGTAAAAATATATGCACCTAACTCCAAAATCTTCCCACACATTAAAATATGTCATATTTTAATATGTCATAAATAATGACATATTAAAATATGTCATGCATGCATTTTTGTTTAGGAAACATGCACATGTATGAGCATGTATGTGGAGGCCAGAGATCAGGTCAGCCTTGGGTGTCACCCTCAGTTTCTCTCCACTTTGTTTTGGTGAGACACAGCTTCTCACTGAATCTAGAGCTTGGTATTTCTATTAGATTGACCAGCAAACCACAGAGATCTGCTTGTCTCTGCCTTCCCAGTGCTGGGGATACAAGCACAGTACCATATAAGCTTTTGACATGAGTTCTAAGTATCAAACTCACACCATCATCCTTGCACCATAAGCACTTGTTGGTTCCAGGGTCTTACAATAATGGAGGAGAGACCACCAAAGTCTATTAAACCAGAAGCAAACTTTATTTCAGAAAAAAATAAAATAAAATAAAATCACAGTGGGGCACAAAAGCTTATCAGCTAGCTGAGACCACAGCCAGAGTTGGATTTTAAGACTGTGACAGTTGGATGGGGGGGGGGGGTTATGAGTCCCTTTTTATAGTAAGGGGGAAGGCATTAGGCACAGAGTGCATGTTAGGAGTCATGTAGTTAACTTTGGTCCAGGCAGTTATTGGCTATAAGGGGCAAGGGGGTTAAAAGTTAACCCCTGGCTGTTGACAGAGGAGCAGGCTATAAGCAGAGAGCCATTGTTAGCAGTTAACCTTTAGAGCTGATGACTGTCAGTTTTCACCTCTTAAGCTTATAATTTTATTTTTCTATATTCCTGGATCCTTCATACTTTACCCACTGAATCTTCTCCCCAGTTCCTGTGATTATCCAAAGCTGAAAACTCCAAAAGAAATAAACCTTAGAGATGGAGTTATTATTGAGAACCCTCTTATAAACCCTGTCAGCACTAGGAGAAACAAATCGCAGCAGTATTAATAATGATGGTGTCCTCCCCTGTGTTCCCGTGGTATGTTATTCATATGTTCTGAACCATAACAACACTGTCTCCTTGTAAATGCTCTGTGAGCTTTTTGAGGACTAGAGCTCACACATGGAGAATCCAATGGAGTGGATAAGAACTGCAACTCAGGAAAACAATTGTTCAGACTGCTGACATTTAGAGAATTTCTCTGTCTCCTTGTTGAAAAACACAGGACACCAAAGGGTTGTTCCTATCAGATCACATAATCCACGTATGAAAAAGTTTGCGCACAGGAAATGTTCAGTAAATATTAGGTTTTATTGTCTTTGTAGGTCCAGAGCCTAAAATAAATCTATCATTCAGCCAAAATTTTCTACTTTTCAAGATAAGCCATATGTATACTGTTGAAATCCAAAAGATCAGATACAGGCATGTCACCGATACTTGTGGACTTCTGGAAAAGTACTTAACTCTCCTGGATTTTTACTTTCTCGGCTCTAATAAGGGCACAAATGAGCATTTATATCCTCAAATTCTAATTATGGCTACAGATAGACTCTAGACTCAAACACTCTGACTTATTTTTCATCTAGATGTCTGCCCTTTAAAAGCAGTACTGGTGAATGAAAGACCATGAATGACAACATAGTTTTGTTGACACATTTGACCCTCTTTTCCAGAAGGGCTATGCCAATTTCAATTTCAGTAAAAGAATTTTTATTCTACTCTCATCAACATGAGGATAGCTGTTTTTAAGTGAGTTTTAACTGTTTGCTGTTCTGTTCAGTGCTAATTGCTTCGTGGTCTTGTGTTTTGATGGTGCCGTCATTGTCTGGGCTCAGCTTTGCCAGGCTTATCTATACAATGCCAATTTGGACACTATTTCTGACTCTGTATTTTCTCTTCCTTTTCTTGATCATTCATAGAATCATTAAAGATTCCCTTGTCAATCATGTAATACTACATTATATTTCAATTAGTGATTCTCAACTTGTGGGTTGTGGCCCCTTTGGCAACCTCTATCTCCAAAAATATTTACATTAAAATTCATAAAAGTAGCAAAATTACAGTTATGAAGTAGCAATGGAAATAATTTTATGGCTGAGGATGACCACAACATGAAGAACTGTATTATAAAGGGTCACAGCATTAGGAAGGTTGAGAACTACTGATATAAACAATATTAGCATGATATTAGACTTTTTCATCATTTCTTTGCTCAAGATACTGACTTAAGAATGATTACAAAATAACACAGAAGACTAGCCAATCCTAAAACTCTTAAAAAACATAAGCTTTGATGCTACTTTTCAAAATAATCTCTAAAATACTAAATAGAAACCAAACTCGGACTCAAAAATTTATTTCTGAGACATATCTTATAGAGCTTATGAACTTCTATTTATAAGCACTATCTCATTAGAAAAATGCAAAACTTCACAGGCACTCATGAAAAACTGTGAATAAGAGCTTTAAAATTTTCAAGTTGTCACATTACTTAAAAATAGCCTGCTCCTGCAGCTAGAAGCTTGAGTGAATTCTCACTGATTAAAGTTTAGACCCTCTTAAAAAATGTAATGAACCAAAACAGTTTTTCTAATATTAAGTACCGTCTCAGTAAATCTAGAAGTTAAGTATTAAATTGAATGACTTTTTCACTAAATTAAAAACACCAGCCACTATACAAATATTAAAAGGTTTAGAAACGTTTTGGAAAAATAGGATTAGTTTCCTTTTCTTCATTGATACAAAAAAAAAACTTTAAAAAGCCACCAAGACTAAACTGATAACATATTTTAAAGATACCTAATCCAATTTTTGTTGTCCATATACTTATTAGAACATGGTCAAACTCCCAGTGGCCAATCCCTTCTATTTCCTTTCGGGGTGGGAACAAGAGTATAGGATAGATCCTGGAGGTCAATTGTAATCAGGTAATTGTATGAAAGTCCCAAATAATAAAAGTATTATGTTGGGGGAAAAAATACACCAACAAAAGCAAAAAAAAAAAAAAAAAAGAGAGAGAGAGAGAGAGACACCCACTTACTAATTCATCAACCACTCCTAAAGACTTCTTTTGATAATGCATTTTTTTTGTAGCCTTTAGGGTGGTACTCTGAGAGCTGTAACTGCCTTTGTTTCTCTGTCCCCGGAACACAGGAGCTTGTTTGCCCCTAACCCCACAGAGTACTTTTGAGCTGAGAAGAAATAACATCTTTTCATCTTCAAAGCCATCATTGTGCTTAGTTAACTAATAATTTAATGAACTGAGTAGTGGCTTAGATACGAGATCAAAGGCATGATCACGTCCTTCTTATTTGGGGCAAAAGATAGGAATTTCAAAAAACTCCTAGACAATTTTTTTCAAGTTGGGAGTTACTAAAGGAGACATTTATAGGTCTCCATATATTCACAGTGGGGGAGAATGAGATATCAAGAAACATTGCTCCCTCTAGGAAATATTAATGTTCTGGTGTGCCTATGAAGCCTCTGAAGGGATTGCTGTGGCTTAGTGGGTCAGGGGAATTCACACATGCTCTTTCAGCTTCCAAAATATGCAGAAAAGGGTACTTGGGTTATTTTAAAATTGCAACTTTAAAGGAAGAACAGAGCTGTAAGCTCAGAGTCATTTGAGAGATGTGCAGGCTATGAAACAAAACATAGTCAGTCTTTTACATCCAGGCACCGTACATCTGTATACTGAGTGACCTCAGATCAAAACTATGGGTTAAAACTGTGTGCCAAACATGAACAGACTTTTTCATGTAATTATTCCGTACATAATATAACTATTTGCATAGTGGTCATATGTCGTAGGTACTGTAATAATCTAAAGGTTAAAGCATTACAGAGGATGTGAGGCTGAACAGATGTTGAACTCAAATATGATGCCATTTGATATCTTGAGTATTATCCATCAATTCTGGAATCTATATGTAATCTAGATCCAATCCTCTTGAATATCGAGGGACAAAGATAATAATCATTTACATATAAATTTTTTTTAAATATTTTAAAAGAGGAAAAAAGATTTCTGTATAATGATTCGTTACATCACTTCAATGCACATCAAGATGGACTAGACTCTAGGAGAGAGCAGAAAATGTGTTCAGTGACTGTATTTTTTTCTCAACATCTAGGAAGATATTTCATACTTCAAGGGTATTTAGTACAAGTGAAATGAATGAATAAGGGATGTAGAATCTACCCAGAACAGATTTCTGTCCCTCAAATATATTAGATCTACTGGACCTGAAGTAATGTTGCTGACATTAAGATGAGGCTTCTCAGTAGAAACCAGTAGGGATGAGGCTGAAAACCTGAAGTGAGTGTCCCAATCCAATGGAACAGCATAGGAGCCACACATCATACTGTAACAACAGAGTGCTTGAGCCCAAACAGTGAATCAAAACAAATTTCCCGATGGCAAGGCTAGATAAGTATTTAAATTTCTTGTTATTTAAACCAAACGGAAACCATTGCTTTCTTACACAACTGAATATTCATATGAAGATTGTAGCTGTGATGTTTTTATGTGAGTGTTTATATGTCTGTCATTATCCTAGAAATAGTTCCATTTACTCTTATGTTAAGACTTCTAGTATGTTATACATGGGATTAGAATCTCAGGTTTTTAATAACAGACAGACCTAATTTGAAATTCTGTCCATTCGATTTGTTGGAGCGTGCTCTCAGAGAAGATATATAACAGCTATAAACTCAGTTTCCTCATCTACAAAGTATGAATATTGTTAGTATCTGCACTGTAAGCTTGTTATTGTGAAAAGGAGATAGCACACAGTAAATTTCACGATCCTGTATATTAATTAAGGGTGCACTCGTGTGTGTGTGTGTGTGTGTGTGTGTGTGTGTGTGTTAACAAGAAATAATTTACTGACAATGTAGAGGTAATAAACACAGAGAAAAGAATAAGATTTGGGTTCTTTTGGCTCCATTTATACTTCTCACTCCAGAACTATTAAAAATTATCCCATCTTGGTTGGGGAGAGCTGGCCCTGAGATCATAAGGGCAGGAGAACTGCACCTGTCCCCCCACCAGCTGCAATACTCAGGAGAGCAGGCCCTGCACCACTCCTAGGCAGCACAATAGAGCCAACCCCATGGGTGGAAGTGTGGGTGAGCCAGCCCCTAAGTTTTTAAAATGGAAGAGCTGTCCCCATTACTCATCTATCATGTATCTGCATGGGTGGGTGAGAGATACCTCTGAGGCAGATGGGAGAGCTGCCCCTGCCCGATACTAGCTACAACACTTCAGAGAGCAGGCCTTGCACCTCACCAGGGCAGCATGATAGAGCCAACCCTGTTGGCAGAGGTGTGGGTGAGCAAGCCCCAAAGTTGTGAGCATGGGAGAGCTGTCCCTATTACTCATCTGTCATGTGGCAGCATGGGCAGCAGAAAGATGCCCTCCCCACCTTCCCATCAACTCCTGAGGTATGTAGGAGAGCTGGCCCTGACCTCATAAGACTAGAAGAGCTGTCCCTTCCCCTCCCCAGCTGCAGCACCTGGGAGAGTAACCCCTACACCAGGCCTGGGAAACACAGTAGAGCTGACCCTGAAGGAGTAGGTATGAGGGATCAGATCCTGAGGACAGGCAGAACTGGCCCCTCCCCTTACTCATAGCTGCAAGGTACACCACAAAAATGCAGGAGAGCTCACCCTGGTGGTGAGGACAAGGGAGAGCTGGCAGGCTGACCAACCCTGCAACTATCCAGGCCCAGAACCAGGGTTATATGTTGGCCCACCTCAACATCCATCCCATTTGTGATCTGCTGGAGCAGGTGAAGGGACCAGTCAGTCCTACAAACCCAAAGCTGCAGGGTTTCCACATCACAGGGTAACAGCAGGATAACCAAGAGGAGTTCCAGTGAGGGCTCAGCATCAATAGTGTAGCAGAAACCAGAGGCCTCGAACCAGACCAATGACTCTTTGCAATGAACACCTGCAAGTAAAGATATATGGACAAAGGGGTGTACTGTGTGACTCACTGTGTCATACTATAGCTTCCATGACTAGATTGATTTTTTTTCCTTCTTTTTTCTCTTAAATTTTATTCTATTTTGAGGGGCAGAGGGTGAAGATGAAGGGATGAAGAAATGAATGAGACAGAGAAACATGATGTGAAAGACACAAAGAACAAATAAAAAGAAGGAAAAGAAAAGCAAAAAAATTATCCCATCTAAAAAGTTAAAATTAAAGTACATGAGTACTATCAGCATTTGTTATTTCTATTTTTATTGAGTTGTATAATTACATAAATTTCCAAATGTGACCACCAAGATAAATCTTATCATGGACTGAACTCACATAGGCATGGTTCTTTCTCACACCCTTCATACCAGTGTTTGTCCCCTTGCTTTTAGTTCTAATTGCTTGAGGAGATAAAATAAAATCATTGCAGACAGATTTTCTGGAAATCAAGGCTAGAGAGTAGAACTGTTCAACAATGTTTTCATGGTCAGTACACACTGTCATCCTTCATTTTCCATGAAGCAATCATCACATTAGCTTCTGGCTCCTCTTACTTCCCCCAAACTGAGTTTCAAAAAAACCTGAAATGATCTGTTCTGAACGCTTTAGTTCATCAGGAAAGGTACCCTGGCATTTCGCAGCAAAACTGGTACAACTTTTGATGTAGCTTCATAAAAAGAGATGCCTTTGAGTTAATTACACCTGTAGAAATATTCCCAAGCACTTCTAGGAATGCTCACAATTTCTCTGGTGAAGCAGCTGGCTAAAAGTAGCAAAACTGTTTGCTAAGAGAATAATCAAATCCCCTACAGAATTTAATAGCCAGCAATTGATACACAGGCACCAAGCTCAAGAATTCTTTAAAAGTTCCTTAAAAACTTGTATACTGATCCAAACTAGCTTGATGTCACTATAAAAGATGAGAACCCAGACATCTGAGATCCTATCAGACAACAAATAATCAGATCCTTCCCCATAAATCTAACATATCAATATTTAGATCAATGGAACCCAGGCCCCTTGCTATATTTCACATATAAATTATAAAAGCCCATTTTACGCCATGGGTAACTTCCCAAATGTTAATTAAGTGCTTCCTGCCTTGGTGGTGGTGGTTGGGTGATGGTGGTGGTGGTGGTGGTCGTGGGGCGGTGAAGCGGGGAGTAGTAGGGTGGTGGTAGAGGTGGTGTTGATGGTGGTAGTTGTAATAGGAATCTTAAAAGTTCTTATTAATAAAATCAAACCTGAGCCAGGTATTGGGGTGAAATGCTGGATGGTCAGAGAGACAGAACAAGCCACAGCTAACCTCACCTGGCCAACTTCTCAGTTGGTCTTGTTTCCTCAGACTGGAAGCCTCTGTGTCCTCATATCTGAATGGCTTTCAGCTGAACTGCTGCTCGAAAGCCTGAAGCTTAACCAACTAAAAGTGCTTCTAGTTTCTGGTCCTCATGCTTTACATACCTTTCTGCTTTCTACCACCACTCCCTGGGATTAAAGGCATGAGTCACCATGCTTGGCTATATCCTTGAACACATGGATTTCTGCCTCTGGAATGCTAGGATTAAAGGCGTGTGCTACCACTGCCTATCCTCATGTTTAATATTGTGGCTGTTCTGTCTCTGACCCCAGATAAGTTTATTAGGGTGCACAATATTTTGGGGAACACAATACCACCACAGGTAATGGTTATGATGATGTGGTGGTGGGTAATGGTGGTGGTGGTGATGGTGTTGTGGTGGTGTGGTGGTGATGGAGCTGATGCTTTCTCATAGTGGTGGTTTGGTTTTGGTTTTTGGTTTTTGCCTTTTTGCAGCAATAGAGTCTAAGGTTGCCAGATCATTACTTACCACATTCATTTGGTATTGCCTCATTTTAAAAATAATGTTCTGTGTGCATCTTGGGTCTGATATTTTTACTTTCTGATCCTACTTTGTCTAAAATTAAAATCCATAAAATAGGAAATGTGTTGTGATTTTACTTCACATTGAAGAGTGTTGATATTTAGAGTTTACTCTACATCAAGTGGGGAAACATGCACACACAGGTCCTCTGACTCCTCCAAATCCCCATCAGCTGATCTGTCATTAATAGACAGTGCCAATGCCTATTTGGAGATAAATGATTTTACAAACAGGTAGTTCTGTCAGAAAATAAAACTGCATTGTTAAAAAGAAATACAAAATAATTTCTGTGATGAAGAGGGAATATCATCTGGACACTTGCAGACTCACAATAAAAATATTTTTCACCAGGAATTTCAATAGTAGTGTTTTTATATCTGAAAGTGTGGATGTAAAACTCAGTCATCTCAGATAAAATATTCTCTCCAGATAAGTGTAGGTCATAATATGCAGAGAATTCTTTTTAGGCAGCACAAAGGGTTAGTTTTTCTGCCCCCAGTGGCAAGTTATTACAGTTTTATGTGGGAGCAAAGCTATAAGCTTTTCCTGTTATAAATAAGATCACTCTTACTTCACTCTAAAAATAGACGAAGAAGGAAAGTGGTACAGATCAAGAGCTTATTCAAGAAGTGGAAATGATGGCTAATGGGAGAGGCAGGTCGAGGTCATTGTTTCTTCCCCAACAAGCACTCTTCGGGTTTTTGATTTGCCTGCTTGGATAAGCAGCACACATTCTACACACCAAAATAAAAATAGAACTGCAGTATGATGCAGCCATACCCAAAGACTCTGTATCCTACCACAGAGATATCTACTTATCCATGTCCATTGCTGCATGTTCTCTCTAATATGTAGGTCATGGTTTAAATTATCAAATATGGGGTTATGTGAGGTTTAGTGTACACAGATGTCATAAAAGTAGAACAGGTCTCACAAGATGAGGGAAAAGAGGCTTTAAGGAAGGGGGTGTGAAGAGTAACAGAACATGTGAAAAGAAAGTTGAAAGGGTGGGACTCGAAGGAAGAATGGTACAAGTAGAGCATGGGGCAGAGATGAGGAAGAAGAATGGATTGTGGAGAGTGTTAAGCACTGTGAAAATGCCAAAAGAAAATCTCTTTGTATGCAAATTAATGGAAGAATATCTTAAAATTTTAAAAAAGTGAAATATATAATTAAAACTCGTTTTCTTTTTAAATTAATATATAATATTTTTATGATATATGTGTAATTTTTATATTATACATCATTTTGGTAAAGTTAGCTACTGTGATTCTTTTGTACCAAAAGAAAATATATATATACAGGTTTCTAAAACTTGAACAGTGATGACCATACCCTCAACTCAGCATGGTGCTTTGTGAAGCCTTGTAACAGTTAACTTCCCCTGGTGACATCCTGAACCCTACACTGGCTATACCTCTCTTTAATTTGAATTTGGAATACAATGTTACTATCTAATTAAAGCATAGAGACCACAGGCACTTCTTCATTTCATAGCTATTGAAAGACTCCTTCTTAATTTGTCTCTACTTCCTCCAAATCTCTGTGTTAAAGACCAACATCACATACACACTTGTAAGGAGAGGGTCTGTTTGTTTGTTTGTTTGTTTGTTTGTTTGTTTTTCGAGACAGGGTTTCTCTGTGTAGCTTTGCGCCTTTCCTGGAACTCACTCTGTAGCCCAGGCTGGCCTTGAACTCACAGAGTGCTGGGATTAAAGGCGTGTGCCACCACCACCTGGCAGAGAGGGTCTTTATTGTCCCTGAGGCCATACACTCTTTATGTAGCTAAACGAAGTAGTTAAGCAGCTAGAAATACAAATTAGTGTGAAAAATACATTTCTATGGAAAAAGATCTTAGCTTTTTTTAAAGCTTAGGTGTTTCTGCAATTCTCCTTCATCCCTCATTCTAACTCTTAGCACCATCAGTGTTTTTACCAGCTACCAATAATAGTTACCAATTCATAGAGCACTTACAAATATCACTTTTAATAACATTTTATTACCAACAATAATTATTTAATTGGGCTCTTATAGTTTTATTGTATTGTATATGTTCTCTTTACACTGCCCTATACTTACATAGCAGTTACAATTCGCCTTTTGGATTATTGTACTGACAACATCTATGTATTAATCTTATTCTGCTTCAAAAGAAGCATATCAGGAAGATATTTATTATAAGTTGATACAAAAGCTTCTGTTTCTGTAGTATCTCATGAATCCTGGAATCTGATTGAGAGCTAATGAAGAAAAGACAGGTACTCAGATATACATGCAGTGAAGCAGGAATTACCGGGAGTCAGTTATCTCTGCAACCTAGAACCTCAGCGTGTTTATTAGGCACAGAACAGAGAGTAGTAGGAGATCTCTATAGATGAGCCTCTCAGACTGTAAACATCCTAGAGGAAGAAGTTGAAGTTGCTGGTCTTTATATACAATGTTCAGTCATCCATAAATACTGATACTTGGACTCCAGATGAAAGTTTTGCCATTCTTCTTGAGCCAAGCCCAAATGGGTAATGGCTTTGCCAATTTTCCATAAGTCCAAAGCCTTAGAGTCCTTGAAATGCTTGTGCCCATGTCATGCAATGCACAACCACTCAGGACGTCACTCATCAAGGGCTTCCTCCACTCCCTAGAGTCATCCTCACTCCTATATTATTTTCTCATCTACATATCCTTGAATTTATTTCCCATATTTGGTATTGCTTACCTGAAATTGAAAGCAACCTGTTTCTGAACTGTGTCCACATTCTGTGTCATAGATCATGAAAGTCCAACTGTGGTCCTACCTGAAGAACAGAAAACAGAAAATGTTTTAAGCATCTAAGCCCCTAGAATAGCCATAATGCCATTTACAATTCTAGATCATGGCAAGTCAGGAGCTGGCATTAGACTCATTAAGAAAGACTGACATGGTTGCCGTTCCTTAGAGCATTGGCAAGAATGGAAGTAAGGGCTCTCCCCAGTTAGGATTTAAATCAATCAAAACTGAGACTAGAAGTCAGCAAAAGAGTATCAAATTCCTGGTATTATTACTAACAAAACTGTGATTTGATAAGGTAGCTTGCTTTCTGAGACAGTCAGATTCTTTGTGCTTAATGCCTGAATGAAAAAGACGAACCCATTAACTCACAATGAACAGTAAATGGGGAAAACCGCACTCATGAGCAACTAACATCTAAAAGAGAAAAAAACAGATATTCCCTGAAAATATCCCACTCACAAAGGAAAGAAAAGATAGAGTGCTTGAGCTTTGAATTACCAACTTATTCTCCAAAATTCAACAGAGAATCGGTCATTCCACTCTCCTTTCCTCTAACTACCCATGGAGAGAATAATGGGGACCATATAGACTCCAGTGAGGATTGCCACACTCACTTCAGTCTTTCTATGAGACATGGACAATAGGACATAGTAAATGGCCCCTTTAACAGTCCTGAAGCTCATCCTCAGACCATCCCCTGCTCCTCCTGAGTTCTCTTTCTTGAGAGAATGATCTTCACACTTCAGTATACTGTTCTCAATTATTTCAGGGGTACTATCTGAATACAGGAAAATGGCATTGCTGTTTGCAAGTCCCAGAGCAATGGACAATGCTATAAAGAGACAGGGAAAAAAACAAACAAGCATGATCCTTTCCTATTCAGACATAACCAAGGAAAGAATTTTTAAATATTCCATTATATTCTTTAAAATGCATTAGGCAAAAAACTAAAGAAAAATGAAAAATAATAATAATAAATAAAAAAGTACATTAGGACCTGACACAAATGTTTATACAGAAAATATAGTTTCACAAGATTCTTTTTAATTTACCATTCAAGTCTTTAGCCATACATATTCTTTATAAGCATTATTTTAAACACTATGGTTAACTCAACATGTCACAATATATTCAATTATTATATTTGAGAGATTTTTTTCTATTTATAATCCTTAAACAAGTATTTTTTATAAAATATAACAAAAGAAAAATTTTATTGGCACCAGAGAGCCTTGTCCTGTTGTATAAAGAACTTTAAACTTTTGACTCATGTACTTAAAACTTTTTCCCAAGATTTATAGCCCTTAAATCATCACCTTATTATAAAACTGACTGTCTCACTGCGTCCTTTCCAACATTCAGTGCATCAGAAATGGAATTGATATTAATTTACATTGGATAGCCTGTGTTGAAACCATTCAGCAAAACCAAAACTGTACTCCTGTCTCATGAAAACTGAAAAACCATAAATGTGAATTGTTCTATAATTCTATACTGTTTCAAGTTAATTTATGGTGCAGCAATAAATGACCATTCCACATGCTTTTTCATGACTTTTATTAGTACCACAGTAAATAATTCATTAATTTTTATTATTGTATATGTCAAGAATATTTCAGGAATCTGTTTCCAGAGTATAAATATGTAAAGATGAAATTCTCTGGTTTTCCTATTTATGCATATTTAACACCTACAATAACAATAGATACCCAATAAATACCGACTTAATAAATAAAATACCTACTACACTTAAGTAGTAATTTGAAATGGACAAGTAGATAAACTGATACAGAGTAGCTGGGGAAGCCATGCCTAGAGATCTAGATTCAGAAGTCTTAAACTTACCAAGAACAATATTGGAATTAAGTAGAAACATCTAGCTTTATAGAGAGAAAACTAACAATGTCCGTCCTAGTTAGAGTTACTATTGCCATGATGAAATACCACAACCAGACCAACTTTGGGAGGAAAGAGCTTATCTGGCTTCCATATTATTGTTCATCATCAAAGAAAGACAAGACAGGAACTCAAACAGGGCAGGAACCTGGAGGCAGGAGCTGGTGCGGAGGCCAAAGAAAGGTGCTGCTTACTAGATTGCTCCATATGGCTTGCTCAGCCTGCTTTCTCATAGAACCCAGGACCATCTGCCTAGAGATGGCACCACCCACAATGGGCTGAGTCCTCCCCCATCAATCACTGGAGGAAACTGAGGTTCCCCCTTCTCAGATAACTTTAGCTTGTGTCAAGTTAACATAAAACTATCTGACACAGTATTCCATGCCATGCCTTGTAATATTCCTGTATACTCTTGCATACTGAGAAAAGAATAACAAAGAAAATTGGGGGTAAGCATCATGTGATGGAGAAAATAAGAAAATCAGTTATCAGAAAGTGACAGCAAAGAACAACAAAAAGTATTAACTATAGAATGTTCACTGTTTGCCAGACATGACATTTTGAGGAATTTATCTCATCTAAGTATGGAAATAATCCTTTGAAATAACCCTAGATATTCAACAATAGATTAATGAGTAAATAAAGTGTGATATGTGTGTGTGTGTGTGTGTGTGCGCAATGGAGTTTTATTCAACCATAAATATGAACACAATTATGGCGTTATAGGGAAATGAATGGAACTGGAGATGATATTTAGCAAAAATAAGTCAGACTCAAAGAGAAAAATAACAAATTTTCTCTCATATGGGGAACTGAGAAATTATAGATAACTAGATAGACAGATAGGAATGTATAGGACACAAATGTAGGAGGGGTATTATTTTAGTAGAAGACTAATGGTTTGGTTAAGGGGAGCAAGAGAGTGAGTAATAAGGAGAAGACAAATCCATGTTTTCTTTCATACACAGATCTAGGGGTGTGTGTGTGTGTGTGTGTGTGTGTGTGTGTGTGTGTGTGTGTGTGTGTGTGCGCACATGTGCCATGAAAACAGGATGAATATCTGAAGAAAGAAGGAAATTAACAGGAGGGAGAAAGGTCCCAATGAGTGGTGCATAAGCAAAGTACAGTGATTCACATGTATGAAAATACAGCAAAACCCACTATTTCGTATGCCTACTTAAACTCAGTCTACGAACAGTTGTGCATATCTGTAACCCGGCACTTGAGAGGTGGAGGCAAAAGGAATAAGAGCTCAAGGCCAGCCTCAGTTACATAATGAGCTTGAGGCTACCTTGGGCTACATGAGACTCTATTTCAGAACTGATAAATAAATGAGAGACAGACACAGAGAGGGACAGAAAAGAGGGAGAGACTATTTTATTTTAATATAATACTTCACTATTAGAGAATTCGATACAATGAATATGAATCATACTTAGCCCCTTCTCCTCCCACAACTTCTCCCAGACCTACCTGACTTTTCCACCCCATCTCAACTTCATATGCTTTTCCTTCCCACAATCCACCCTGTCCAAGTTGTGCCCCTGGGTATGAAGCCATCTACTGTGGTATGGTTGACCCACTAGGAGTCATACCCTTAAGAAAACTGACTCTCCCTCCTCCAAAAACCATCAACTGCCAATAGCACCCTAGCTAGAGAGGAAGGTGGAGGTCCCCTGGCCACTTCACACTAGAATGTTGATTAGCATGATCTTGGACAGCTAACCACAGCCGCTGTGAGTTCGTTCGTGTAGCTGTCAAGTCATGTCCAAAAGATACTTCCCCACAGTCCTCCCTGACCAATGGCTCCTTCAATCTTTCTGCCTCCTCTTCTACAGAGGCTTCAGAGCCCTGAGGGATGGGTGACACAGATGTCCCACTTGTGGCTAAACATTTCACTGACATTTATTCTCTGCCTTTTGATCAGTTGTGAGTTTCTGAGTTAACTATCATCCAATGTACAAAGAAACTTCTCTGATGAGGCAAGAGAGAGGCACTCATCTATGGATAAAGAGACACAAATTTAGAAGGCAGTTTGATTCTCTGTCCAACAACAACAATAATAATAGGTTTATCTCTGGGACCTATAAGCCCCATGTGGTGGTTTAAATAAGAGTGGTCTCCATAGGCTTATGTAGTTGAATGTTACTCATCAGGAAGTAGAACTCTTTGAGAGGATTAAAAGGATTGGGAGGTGTGGCCTTGTTAAACCGTGTCACTAGGGGGTGTGCTTTGAGATTTTAAAAGTTTGTGCCAGTCCCACTCTCTCTCTGTCTCTCTCTCTGTCTCTCTCTCTCTGTCTCTCTCTTTCTCTCTCTCCCTCTTTCTCTCTCTTTCCCTCCCTCCCTCTCTCTCCCCCTCTCTCTTTCCCTTCCTCCCTCCCACACTCTCTCTCTTATCTCTGTCTCTGTCTCCCTCACACTCTTTCTTTCTCTCTCTCCCCTTCCCTCCTCTCTCTCTTTCTGCCTGCAGATCATGATGTAGCTCTCAGCTACTTCCCCAGCACCATGCCTATCATGCCTGCAGCATGTTCCCTGTTCCCATGCTCCCTGCCATGATGATAATGGACTAACCTTTTGAAACTGTAAGCAAATCCCCAATTAAATGCTTTCTCTTATAAGAGTTGTTGTGGTCATGATGTCTATTCATAGCAATAGTGACTAAGACACTCCCCAACCATGAATTCTTGGCAATATTTACAGTATCAAGCATGCATTTTATCCTATGCAAGAGGCCTTAAATCAAATTAGACAGTAGCTCCATATATAATGTGTGTGTGTGTGTGTGTGTGTGTGTGTGTGTGTGTGTGTGTTTTGAATTGAAACTAACCTACACAGAAAATAGATAATGCTTCCTCCAAAAGCCAAAAATACATTATTTTCACAAATTAATTTTAAAAAGCAAACTGCAGGGCTGGGTTCAATGGCTCAGAGAATAAAGGCATTTACCCTCAGTCCTGAAGACCTGAGTTTGATCTTTGGAAGGTACATGGTGAAAGGAGAGCACTGACTCCTGCAAGTTGTCCTCTGACCTCCACAAGTGGTGCATGTGCATACATGCACACACTTTAAATAAATAAAGTAAAAGAAAATGCAAAAATAAAAACTTTGAGGATAGATTTTTGTTAGTTTGTAATAAATAGAGAGACGATGCATTGCCTAAGGTAACATGTCAAAATGCATTGAGTGAGTCTGTTGTAGACTACCATTCCTGTGTCTCTATTAGACTATTCTTGAAATTGGTGCTTAATGTTAATTTCTTCTAAAGATGTAATATTTGTGCTCTCCTTTGTGAAATCAAATTCAATTTTTTTTCTAGCTAGTAAAATGCAATCCCACACGGAAAAGTACCAAGGCAGAATGAAGTTACTGGTTGCTGGCAAATGAGAAATGTAACACCTCAGGAAACATCAGGTTGCCCAAGAGGGACACTTTAGGACAGTAGCCGCTTGACTTTTTCCATCTACCTTAGAACATTCTATGACTTTTCCTACATGCCAGAATACACCTGAGTAAACATCATAAATTGTATTTGGTGAGGAGAAAGGCCTAGTCACAAGTCATGATTAGATCATGCTGAATGTGTAGTCAAGCACAATGTTTCTTTAGGTGAATAGTGATCACAGCTATTAATCATTTAATTGAAGAATTAAATGAATTCACTTCTAAGAAACCTGTTATAAATAGAGCTTGTGCCACCACGGTCCTGAAGATTTTAAATTATTTTCTCAAACAGAAGAAAAGCAAACAATTATCAAAATAAAAAAAAAAAACTTAATCACATTGTAAAATGTTGATAACAGAGAATTTTGGTCTAAAATGCCATGATATTTCCCAACCTAGCAATTTGCCACCGAAAATACTTCAAATGCATATACATAAGTGATTTTCTAGTGAGTGATATGATGACTAAATATATTAGAAATACTTTTCTGCAGTGTTTGCAAATGTATATGAGTCGCTGCAGCCAGTCTAGAACACACCCAACTTTCCTGATTCCACGACCAAAGAACTCAGCCTGTATTTTCAAAGCATCTGCATATATGCAAAATATGTATGTAAACTGAGAGACAGTGAGTCTTGGCTTTAAAATCATATATAATGCTATTGTCAAATTATAATTCTGATCTAAATCACTGCAGCAAGATCCTTGTAAGTGGTTTCCAGTCACATTATCCTCAAATTTACCAAATACAGTGCTGCAAAAAATCTGTCTTCAGAAACACATATGCCCAGTATCTGCTTTAAAGACTTTTTCCCAAGAGTTCCCTTTGCCTGCAGGAGGACACACAAGCTCCTAACAGTACAAATCCTGCACTCTGCACACCCCACCTTCTATTTCTGTGGTATTTCTCATTACTCCCCGTGTTGCTCTTTATGCTCCAACAGTTCCAAACCACAAAGAGTTTTCTTCCAAGGAGCCCTGTGCATTAGCTTATCCCGCCCCTTTCCCAGAACAATTTCTATGATATTCCGCTGTCAAGCTCTTATCCTTTAAGGCTCAACTCAGGCATCATTACATTCTGGAATCTTTCCTGACCCTTCTAGATCTGTTTGCAGCAAAGCAGTTTGCACATCCTTATCGCCTATCTTTGAGATGGCATAGCTGTTTATTCAAACATTTCTCACCCTACCCGAAGGTGGTTTCCAGGAGCACAAGAGTCATTGATCATTTCCCTTCTCTCCTACTGTCAGAGTTTGGCACGTGGTATCGATGCTGAAATGCTGACACTCATTCTCCCATCAGGGATTCTCTACAAAAGGATAAATACAAAGGAAAAATAACATTGAGAAGTAGTGGGCAGGTTTTATTAGTATCTACATTACTTTGATTATTCTGAATATGGGATTTTCTGAGTAGTGCTTCTGTTGTGAAAAGGTAGGCCTTGAAAAGCTTAGCAACCACTCCTCAATCCATTTCTCTGAATATGAATGCCCATCACTGTAAATGAGGAAGGGACTCCATTTCCATGTTCAGTCACTGACAGAACATGGAGCACAGTTGAATGAGCGGAGGAAAGCTCTGTCAGGAACATTTTCCTAACAGATCTCCCATCCAGTACTCACCAGACCTGATCTTACTCAGCCTCTGTTGTAAGACCCGATTGAGTGCATGCAGGGAGGTATGGCTATAGACACATAGATGTAAGAAGCAAGAAGGAAGTAGAATGTGTGATCCTATATTTTATATACATTAACCCACATTCCTGTCAAGCAGGGCAGGACATGTTCCTGTCAGTAAAGATCTTGAATTCAGCCAGAAAATCAATTTCTTGTTCCTTAGGAAGGTTCTAGAAAAAGTTGGAAGTGATGACATGTGAACCCTACTGATTCCTCTCCTGTAAATTCTTACATCTTATAACAATTTATAATATTCAAAGTTTCAGACATATTATATAATGCAATATTCAACAGCATGAAGTTGCTAAGCATCAATGTTTCTATTAACAGATTAGGAACTAGTAAAATAAATAGTTGTGGTCATAAAGATAAAGAGCAGCAAACACATAAGATCAATTTTTGAAATGCACAACAATGTTTTCAGCTAAGCAATGTGCCACAGAGACTGCTCCAAATGTCCATGCATGAGAGCTGCCAACTGCCACAGCAGGAAGACTAAGCATGTTAGAAATGTCCCTGTAGTTCTCAGTGTCTGTGTCTGTCCCAGTGGCCAGCCTCAAGCACACCTGGATATCCTGCCCCCACTATTCCAGATACTTAGCTGTTATGTCTGTTTTGACAACTCTTTGGCACATGGTATAGAGTATAGGAGAAGAAGGATGTAAGCAAAAATAAACAGCTCTTGAGACACTATATAGATATGTGTTTAATGTCAAGAATCCCATTGCAACCTAGTTATTTCAATTTGAACACAGACAAGGTCTGGTCTGTTTATGGGATCTAAAGTTTGGGGTTAAATGGTTTACATGAACAACTAAGATTTTCTTACAAAAATTGGGGGAAAGAAAAATGTCTAATTCCCTGGGGATTGAGTGTTTCCTAAGGAACCTCATCCACAGAAGAGAAATGTCTAACAAGTTTTAGGTTTGAGAAGGCTTAACATTTCTGTTGACTCCATAAGAGAAGGAAACAGTAGCATTTCCAGGAGGTCTGTATGTTACTTACACATGCCTGTAAATGCTTATAGAAGAAGCAGGAACTGAGAGCAGAGGTTATATTCATAAACAATACATGTAACACACATATATGTTACATTTATATAATTCATGTGAGTCTACTTCCCTCATTGCTTATAGGAGCTTGAGAATACTGAAATTAATGCATCACAGAAAGACCTTTCTACAGTTGAAAACCATCTCTGAGTCATCTTATAAAAATTTAGAAATTCAAGCATGAACAGTTTAGAAAATCAATAAAATACATAATGCTGTTTTGATCTATTTTCACCAAAAAGGAGTAAAAAAAAAATTAGCTGACACTTGAAAGGGATCATTACATTTAATGGGAAATGCACTTTTGTGAAACAGCTCTAATCATCTGACACACTAGATCAATGGATACAAGAATGATGGGTAATTTTCTATAATATTCTTTGCCTCAAGTATTTGATGCTAAGATCATCACTCTGACATCTAAGTACACTAAAGTACTTGAAAAGCACCAACTTGTTAAAGACAGTAGTGAGCGACCTAATCTAATTATAAGACTTCCTTCTGGAATCCACAGATATCATCCTAACTACAACGCTAGGTGAGTTACAATGCTGAGTTGCTTTTTTTCTCTCAATCTGCTATAGATAATTAATAAGTTATTACAAGGGGAAAAGTTTAAATTCCAAGTGATGTAAAAACTGAATATTCAAGTTGGAGAAAATATTCAGTGGTTAGGAACATTTCTTGTACAAATATAAAGATGTGAGTTTTATTCTTAGTACTTATGCCTGCAACTCCAGCACTGTGGAGGTGGAGAGGCAGGAGATCACTAAAGCTCACTGTCTGCCAGCATAGCACCAGAAAGATGCATTGTCTAAAGGAATTAGATAAATGAGCAGAACATTAGACATCTTAATCTAGCTTCCACACAGGCATGCACCAGCATGAACCACATCCACCCCCCCCACCCCCCCTCCCACACACATAGGGACATAGACCACACACACATATACCACACTTAAATCAGAGCCACATTTTGTATTAAATCTACAATTTAACATAGAAAAAAGGGGCTGTGAAAGAATAGACAAATAAATAATCAGGGTCTTTTACTTGTAGAATAAAGTAGCACTTTACTATCAGTTGGGAGAATGTCAGAGGGATAAAGTCAAGAGTAAAACCTATATCACATCAATGTCAAGAAGGTAAAAATAGCCAACAGGGGTTTCCTGGAAATATATAAAAAAAAAAGTTTACTTTAAATTTTAATGTTTCAGTTTGGGACTATATTAATGTTTCTAGGACCTCAAGTTCATTATTACAATGAATAATAATGAGTCATATCCCATAATGTTAATATTATGTCAGTTTATTTTTTCCTCAACCTTAAAAAAAAACTGTGAATCGTTTTCTCTTCTCTAGACCACTCTAAAACAGAAACAAAGTATCAAATACAGTAGACTTGAAGAGAGAATTTTCATAAAAGAGAGAAGACAAGGAGGGAAAACAGTAAGTTACACAGAAGAGAAATTCATGGGCAGAACACTGAGAACAAGAATACAATGATAAATCATGTTCTAGAACAAAGCTTCTCAAGGAGGGTTCTTTTGAAATCTAGAGCTCTACAAAGTGTCATGAAAGTATTCTTGAGATTGTCTCTAAGATATAAATAAAACATCATTTGTGGATCTATGTGGCTCATGGAATGGCAGCATTTACAGTAGAACACAGTAAGTGAGCAGCTAGTCCATGATTTCATTAGTAGCCCTTTAGCCCTTGTAGCTGGAGTTCTCCTAGTCCTACTCGGCTCGCAGATGCTCAGACCCAAATAAACACACAGATGCTTATATTAATTAAAACTGTTTGGCCTAATGGCTCAGGCTTCTTGCTAGCTAGATCTTACACTTAATTTAATCCATAATTCTTATTTATGTTTAGCCACATGGCCTGGTACCTTTTCCCAGTTCTGCCTTCACATCTTGCTTCTCATGGTGGCGGTGGCTGGCAATGTCTACTGACTCAGCCTTCCACTTCCCAGAATTCTCCTCTCCACCTATACTATACTTCCTGTCTGGCTACTGGCCAATCAGCATTTTATTTATCAATCAATCAGAGCAACACATTCACAGCATACAGAAAGACATCCCCAGCAAGCCCTGAGTTGCAGAGTCCACAAGGACAGCCTTCACTTATGTGGGTACGTATTAGTTTTTCACATGACTGGAGGGGCCACCAACAGTTGGTGAGTATATGATAGCAGAAAGAAGATGACAGGCTGATGACACCAGTGTCTCCATCCCTACTGAGGTCTGAATATAAATTACCTCTCAAAAAATCATATGTTGAAAGTTTTGTCCCTATCTAGTGGAATTATTGAAAATATTTGCACTATGAAGATGTTAACTTTGTTTATGTATTACTTCATTGGTGAGTTATGAGGAGGCAAGGCATAGTTGGCGAGATGGGTCATTACAGATATGTCTTTAAAAGTGTATCTTTGGTTCCTGGATTCTAGCTCTATGCCTTTTGGCTTCTTGTCTGCTATGAGGTGAGAGTCCCTCTGTGCCTTGTGCTCCAGTGTGTGATATTCTACCTCATCATAAGCCTGAGACAATAACCCAGCTGACCCTGGACCCAAATGTCTGAACCATGAGCATAAATAAATCTTTTCCTCTCTAAGCTATTTTACTCAAGTATTCTGTCTCACTGACAAAGGACTGGTTAAAATGAAATTGCCATGAAAAGTAGGGTCATTGTTATAATTTCCTCACCATGTGGGTCAGATGTGGTTGGTATGAGCTTGTAAAAGAAATATGAGAAATGGAGACACTACTTAGGAAAAGTTTAAAATATGATAAACAGATCTTCATAGATTATTTTGATGGCAGTTCAGAAGACCAGAATGCTAATAGGTACAGGAGTAATAAAGACTGTGCTCATGAGACTTGTAGATAGAAATAAAGACACTACAGGAATTGGACTAGATGCCACTCACATGATATTGAGGTTATGAATTAGTCTATGTTATGCTCATCTCTTGAGACCTTGAGTGAGGTTGAGTTTATAGGTGACAGACTGACCAATCATGTAGAGAAAATGTCAAGTCAGCATCAGGCCATCAAAGTTTAGTCACAAAGAGAGCCTCCAAGTGCTGTGGGATGTCTTTCTGTACACTGTGAATATGTGTTGCTCTGATTGGTTGATAAATAAAGCTGCATTGGCCTATGGCAAGACCGCTTAGAAGCAGGTGGGAAATCCAAGCAGAGATATGGAGAGAAGAAAGGAGAAGAGGGGAGATGCCAGCCTCGGCCTAAGGAACAGCAAGATGTCAGCAGACCAGTAATATCACAGCCATGTGGCAACTTACAGATTAATAGAAATGGGTCAAGTTATAAGGGCTAGCTAAGAAGAAGCCTGCCATAGGCCATGCAATTGGTAATTAATATTAAGCCTCTGAATGATTATTTTATAAGTGGCTGAGAGACCACGAGACTGGGCAGGACTGGAGAAACCTTCCAACTATATCCAAAGTAGTACCCAACTGACAGAAAGCTCTATACCCTATTACCCTGACAAGCTCTTTCATTTAAGATTTCTCAAGGAAAAGCATGACCTCAGTTCAGACAGTGCAGTACAATGTG